ATTAAAATCTACCAGGAACAGTCACATAGTTGATGATGCCCTCAAAACTCAAGGCATCAACAGATGATCAGGCAGCGGGGAAAAATCCACTGGCAATTCTGCACTAGAGGCAGTCCTCAACTTACAACCCGAATTGGAACCAGACTTTTTGTTGCTAAGGGATGCAGTGGTTCAGTGAATTGTGCCTGATGTTATGACACTTTTGCCACGGTTATTACAACAAAATCAGGCTTCCCCTATTGACTCTGCTTGTTGGAAGCCCTCTGGGAAGACTCAAATTTGCCTTACTTAACGAAAAGAATAAATAAACTTCGGGAACCCTCCTTTATTGTCCATGGGCCGTGTATATATTAACCTTAATATTAATCTCTAGCCACAGATGGGATGGAATGTTAAACTAGTTGTCCTCTAATTTACGTTTGGAGGGAATCAAAAGCATGAACATCTATGGAGATTCCCAGCCATCCAGGTCATGGTTGTCCCAAAGGTGCTTTTTTAAAGAGGCAACTGGGACTTTCTAGTTTCTCTTTGAAGACGTTTCACTTCTCATTCAAGGAACTTCTTCAGCTCTAATTGAAAAATTCCCATTTCCCACCATCCAGTCAGAGCTGAAGAAGCTCCTTGGATGAGAAGCGAAATGTCTTCAGAGAGAAACCAGAAAGTCCCAGTTGCCTCTTGAAAAAAAAAGCACCTTTGGAACAGAAGCATGAATATATATATTTTTTATTTAGATATCTCTGCATTCACAAGCTTGCTTACTGTATGGGAATTAAGAGTATGGAAACTAGCACCCTTCCTCTCCTCTTCCCCCCTTTGTAAAATTGGGAGGTCCCCACTGGGCTTTTTCTTGTGTTTGCTTGAGAGTTGTGGTGGCGCAGTGGTTAGAATGCAGTACTGCAGGCTGATTTTCCTGACTACCAACTGCTGAAAGTTCAACCCTGACCGGCTCAAGATTGACTCAGCCTGCCATCCTTCCGAGGTCGGTAAAATGAGGACCCAAATGGTTGGAGGCAATAGGCTGGCTCTGTAAACCGCTTAGAGAGGGCTGCTAAAGCGCTGTGAAGCAGCATATATAAGTCTTAAGTGCTATTGCTATTATGAGTAGAAACCTCCAAAGGATCACAAGTTCTACATTGGCCAGGACTTTTCTGTTTTAATGAGGGTGGGTAGAAAAGTTCTATGCACTTACATGCCTGTCCATGGACAGTTTGGGGCCAGAATGTCCAGAGCTTCCCCTTTTCTATTCCCATTCTGAAAAAGATTACCATCCCTCCAAAAAATCAAAAACTCACTCACTCTGCAGTCTTAAAACTCCACTACTAATGTTTGAACATGTCTACGGTATATAAACCTATGGCTTATAGAATTGGGGTAGGGAGAAAGAAGGGAAGTTCAAGTGACTGTCTCATTTTTGTTCCCTTTGAACCTGACATGGATGGTTTTTTCCCCCCCCTGTTTTAATTGTGGCAGTGCGATTTCTGGCCAGAGGTCTGTTCAGATAGGCTCAAGGGCCGCAGTTTGATTCCTAAATATTTTGCCTATTCTTTGTTTATCGATTAAACTTCTAGCGTTCATGGTATTGAGCGAAGGTTTTATTTTAAAGGATTCTCAATTATATTTTGCTCTTGGTAGAAACACCACCCCCTGGGTATATCAGTGAAGATGGGGAAACAAGTGACCAGCAGTTGAACCAAAGCATGGATACAGGTAAATGCCCTCACTTTTATGGTGTATTTTTCAAGTCTTCTGCCCATTTTTTTTGTTACATTTGCATATCTCTCTCTGACAAAACATGTTCTTAGGTTGTATCATTGTTAAGTTTTAAAGGTATGTTGGTTTATTTGTTCGTTTAAAATTATTGGCCACCAAATCCCAGTGGACTCTGGTGCTATGAGTCATATAGAAAAGATCCAATGCCTGTTTTGATCAAGGGAAAAAAAAAAAATACTCTTGTTTCTACCTGGAGACCGCTTCTGGACTTTGTGCTTGAGGTAGAGGAAAAAAAAAAAGAAATTTTGATTTTGGGTTTTACCGATTAGATAGATTTAGTGTAACAGAAATGGCTACTTCAAACTACAAGCAGTGTCAATGGGAAGCCAGATTCACTTAACAGTTTGTGAACTAACTTAATAACTGCAGTGATTCACTTAATAGCTGTGGCAAGAAAGGTTGTAAAATGGGGTAAATTCACCTAACAATCTCTTATCAACAGAAGTTTTGAGCTGAATTGCCGTCATAGGTTAAGACGAACTGCACATTTCATATTTCTTGGATTATTAGATGCTAAAATGGCAAAGGGTTAGTTAAATGCCCTTTTCAGTAGGCTAATATATATCACCAATCTTGATCTCTTAAACCTTGATTTTTGTTATGTTATTGTTAACAGGAGTAAGATAAATTCTAAGCTAGTTAACTAGAACTAGTGCTAAGGTTCTTATCATGGCAATCATAGTTCCTCCCATCCTTTGTTCAAATATTTTCCCATCTTTTCAACATTTCATTGAATCAGGGAAAGAATAAAAGTGATTCCAGATTATTTTGACTACCATGCCCAAAGATTAATGGTAGCTTGTGAAAAACTATGACATCTGGATCTCTGTCTAAAGGATTTGTGTGAAGTGTGTGTGTGTGTGTGTGTGTGTGTGTGTGCGCGCACATGCAGGCAAGAGGAAAAAAAATGAAATAATGTTCTTGATTGTTTCCCCAGGATCGCCGGCAGAGTTGTCTCCCAGTACACTCTCCCCTGTCAATCACAGCCTAGGTAAGCAGGGAACGCTAAATGGGAAAATTGGATAAATGTCTTTGCATTAAGAAATAGGAACTCTTATTATCTGGAGCAAGAAATGCAGAATGGCATTAGTTGGTACTTCTACCTGGTACACCATTAAAGTACGTTTCAGGTTAAAAAAAAATCCGCCCTATGCTTCAAGATGGGGTGTTCAACCTTCACCACTTTTAAGACTTATGGATTTCAATTCCTGTGCTGGCTGGGGTATTCTGGGAGTTGAAGTCCACAGGTCTTAAATGGCCATTGTTGGATACCCCTGCTTTAGGGCATTGGTCTTCAGATTTTGGGTTCTCGCCTCCAAGTGTGGGATATGGCCATATTCCACTGAGACAGGCAGACAGTAAATAAAGCCCTTTGTGCTCTGGTAAGAACAGCTGTTCCTTAATTAAATACTTCCCTCAATGAAACAATTATTGGTTCTCTTCTAGAATCACGTGAAGAGCAATGTTAGTATGCAAACATGGCAAAAAGGGCCCCAGAATTAAAAGTTTAAAGAATTGCCTGTTGCTATCAGCAACTTAAAGTTAGATGATCAAGCTGAAAATGTACTTGTAATAAGGTTGTGCATCATAGTTTTGAATGCCGACTATCTGTGAATACCCTTGAGGAGAGGTATTATTGCCCATAAGGTAGATATCTAAGGCTGAATAGAAGAGTTTGCTTCAATATTGGTCTGCTTAGATATACTGTTAAATTAACCTTTCCTACTATTGGGCATGCTATAAAAGTGTTGTACACCACACAACAGGGGGGGGGGTGCACATTAGTTTTCTTCCAGGTGTTGTTGGACTCCAACTCCCAACAGTAAAACTGTACCCAATCCTCATCTTATGTCCATAATTGAGCCTGGAATTATGGTCATAAGTCATTGGGGTCATACCTTGAGGCATCATGTGGCCAGACCCAATTTTTTGACTTTTTTTTTTTGGGTGGTGGTGGTGGTGGCTGTTAAGCAAATCAATTTTTTCCAGCGTGTCTTTGTTTTTTGCCAATAGCTGAGATGAAATGCCAGAAACAGGTAAAAATATGAGGCAAATTGTGACCACGTGATTGCGGGTTGCTGCAAATGGCCATAAAGGCAAGCGGGTTGCCAAGCACCCAAAATAAGTTCACATGGCCACAAGGGGAGGAGTATAGCAGTTATAACTTTGGAAATGAGTCATTAGTTTTGGGGATTATCTGTCGTAACTTCAAACGGCCGCTAAGCGATCCCTCATAAGTCGGGGACTACCTGGGATACTGTATGGCATACTGTATGTTTAATGACAGTTGTATCAATTTATGGGTGCCTCAATTCTATCAAATTTATAGGTGCCCATACAGTTCATTAAAAATCAAATGTTGACGAATCTTTTAACTAGCTCCAGCAACTTGTATTAGTATTTTTATGGACTGTATTTTTGGAAATGAGCTTCTTAAAATGTGAATCCTTTACTGTGCTGTGGGCAGTTAAATCAAGATGGTTTAATCTAGGATAACATTATCATGGAAAATGTGGTGCCAAAGAGTGGAATAGAAAGGGAAATAAAGATACGAAATAGTTAGGGAAAATAAAGTTTCAGGCAGAGTATGTCTCCCACTCAGTTTTCCTCTGCAAATAAAACGGAGAGATGGCGTGAGCACTCCCTAAAATTAAGCCATTCAGATTGTTTGGTTGCATGAGGGGAATTAGAGCAAACGTGGCCTTTTAGATGAAATGTATTAATGTATCAACCGCTGGGCTGACAGAGCTTCGATTGTGGTTGCACTGAAAACATGGACATTCCTGTTCTGTTTCAAGAATGGTAGCCATGGCTATCGGACCGTTGCCAAGTACAGTGCATATAAAGAATTACTTTAAAGAATGATTTTTGTTTCTCTCTTGCCAGACTTGCAGCCGGTTACCTACTCAGAGCCCGCCTTTTGGTGTTCAATAGCGTATTATGAACTAAATCAGAGAGTGGGTGAAACCTTCCACGCATCGCAACCTTCGCTCACCGTAGACGGCTTCACGGACCCATCCAACTCCGAACGATTCTGCCTAGGTTTGCTCTCCAACGTTAACAGAAACGCCACGGTGGAAATGACAAGACGGCACATAGGTAGGATCCCCTGATGAATTACCAATCCTTTCTTTCTTTCTTTCTTTCTTTCTTTCTTTCTTTCTTTCTTTCTT